CCTCCTTTTTATTAGATAATAAATTAAGATAACTATGTCCTCTTGGTTGCAAGCTGGTGCCCCTAGAATTCTATCATTGACTTAAGAAATAATACTTGTTTCTCTATAATTGTATAAGATTCATCACCAGCATTTACTAAGTGTGCATTAGATGTCAGACATGAGTGCGTTATCTGATTGCAAATTAGTGATAAAAGCAGGAGGCGAACACTATCATTTCTATCTCCAGCAGAGTCATAAGTAAACTAACTGGTCCACAGTCATGGACCCTAAGAGCAGAGGCAGGATTTGAATCCTCTGGGCTTAGAGCCTCTGCAACCCATGCTCTGTCTCTTGCAAGTCATTGGCGTCTCAAAAAGTACGGATATAATATTCTGCAGCCTCCTCACAACCTACTCAGCTTTCCTATTTCTCAAAAGCTTTTTTATAAGTGAGATTGCTAATGTAGGGAATTATACTTTATAGAAAGAAAATACGGACTGTAAACCCACTCTGTTTGGTTCCCCCACTTAAAATAACACAAAGCCATCCTCATAGTCGGCGAGAACCTGACAGATTCTTTACTCTCTACTACACTTTCTTTTCCTCAGCTACTGCATGGACACATCATATGCCAAGAAAGGCAGCACCTTACAGAGTGTGAATCCCTGCAGGCAGCATTAAGGGACAGAAAAATCTCCCTGTAGTCTTTCCCTGTTCCTACTTAAACTTTTTTTCATTACATTTGTGTGTGTGTGTGTGTGTGTGTGTGTCTGTGTGTCTGTGTGTCTGTGTGTCTGTGTGTTGGTATGCATGTGGAGATCAGAGGCCAATTTGTGGGAGGTGGTTCTCTCCTTCCACCATGTGGGTCCCAGGGATCAAAGTCAGGTCATCAGGCTTGGCAGCAAGTGCCTTTACCCACTGAGCCACCTAACTCCCTCGTTCCTACTTTTATCATTTGGAACACTGAAGATTCTTCCTTCCCTTGGGTCTATAGGGAAGTCTTTTAAAGAATAGACAAACATTTTGCTCCCCTGGGAAAACATCCTAATTTTCTCTCGCATTGTCTGGGTTCCTCAGATCTGTCTCCTTGTCATCTTCCCCTGGACACATTCTGAGTTGCCAATGTGCCTTGTTAAAGGTACATTACAGAACTGGGTAAAGAGCTCTTTACCTTAAACTTCAGGCCCTCTGGAAAGACGCACAGGCCCAGAATATGCCTCCATCGACCAGAGAGTGAATCCTGATCCCAGGCCCAGGTCTCCCTCTAGAGGAGATGATCATTTTTGCTTCATTTAATTTAAAGACTTTCAGGACATGAAATAGAATCTCCAGGATCCAGGATCCAGGATCCAGGTTCCCCCTTTAGTTCTTACGCGAAGAAGGGCCACAGAGAAATCCTGGACCTGTCCTAGTTCACCTGCGGTGGGCCACTGACATGCTTGTGAGCATGCAGTAAGTTTGCTTTAGGTTCATAGCCTAGTACTGAGTGGAGCAGTGCAGTCTCAGGGTTATGGGCTAAGGAGTCTCAGTAAATAGCAAGCAGCATGGTTTTTAAAGCACATCCCCAAGTCTTTTTACAAGTCACTCACTCAGAGCTTAGGAGTTTTCAAAATATTTTTTCCTAACTGAAAGAGAGCAGAACTCAATTGACTTAAATTTATTGTTTTTTTTTTTTAAAAAAAAAAACCCAGAAAAATCACTTTAGAATGTGCAAGACTAGACTATGTCAAATGGCCATTTTTACATATGGGCTGAGTTTTAAAGTATCAGAAACTTGGCTTTGTGTGTGTGTCCTTACCTGTAAGACTTAGCTCTTTTTAAATGCCAATGACAACATAGAATTCCTGATAATACTTATTAGTTGATTAAAAGTTTTTCCTCCAGAAGGAATTTAAGTTAGAAGACAAAAACAAATAGACAATCCTGGAGGAGTAGGATGATCAAATCTGGCATAGTCCTGGTACCTATCACATCACATAGGCCCTCAGCTTGTGTAGACCTATAAATCTGCCCAAACCTCTCCTTCTTCAGGCCATGTTTCTACTTGGCCAAAGGCATAACTTAGCAAGGCTGTAGGTGACAAAGTGTAATGGAGTTCCAAACACTTTTCATGTTACTCAGTCTTCCAACTAATGCAAGGTCCCATGAGACAAGTCATTTGATTTTGGCACTTGAGGAAATGGGTGGTTGTTAAGGTTGCCAGGTCACACAGATAGTAAATACTCAGTAAATGAAAGTGTTTCTAGTTTTGAATGATGATATTTTGGCATGACTTAGGCCTAAGCCCGTCTCTGCATTAAATCAACAAGGAAGTTTTGTTTCACACAAACAAAATTTCAAAGAACTACTAGAAAGAGTTTAGAGAAACAATTCTTGGACATCATGAAGCATCTTTTGGCGTCCAACTCTCCTTGGGTAGCAGACAAGCCGAGCTGCCAGTTACCATTCCTGCTCTCTAGGCTTGGTCTTCTCCTCACTTCAGATACCTCACCCATGCTGAAAGGTGACAAAAGCCCTATATCTCTTCCACCTTAAATTCCAGGATGTGTTAATTTCACGTTTCTGTCTATGTGACTAGCAAATTGAATCTCCTCAAAGTTTACCCTCCCTTAGAGTTAATACATGCAATGAATGAAATTATCTTTAAATAAATGATAGATCAGTAAGCTACTCCAATTTCCTCTAAGGTAGTATAATTTTATTCTCCCCAAACACTTGTTTGGTTGAGGGTCAAATAGGAACATTCACTTTCATAGAAAAACTTCCAAATGGGTTATCTGAGTTCTTTGGCTTGAGCTCTTCTAATAAAAATAAAATATCAGTGTTTGTGTGTCCCTCTGCCCTGGACCCAGAGGAGGAACCCAGTGGGGACAAAGTCTTCTTGGAGATATACTTCTAGAAAATGCAGAAGCCCTATAACAACACCTGGCTACAGTTCACTGTGGATTTGTTTGGTTGTTAATAATTAACACTGGAACTCTGACACCAGGAGAAGGCAAGAATTGTGTCTTAGAGGCTGAGAACTAGAGTTGGAGGCATGTCAAAGGACTGGAATAGTCCAGATGTCTGCTTGAGATCAACCAGCTGATGCTTGTGGTGAGGAGGGACAGATGGCAGTAGGGGAATTGTTACTATATTTTGCTCTCCATTTATGTTCAGAACACCTGAAACAGGATGAGTGTTCTCCACCATGCTGCTGCTCTCAGACTCACCAAATATCTTATCAAAAGGTACTTAGGTACTACAGAACTCAAAGCATGTATCCCTGTAATGCCATACTGTCCTGGATGGTAGCAGACTACTTGAGAAATATCTGGTATCATTGAGGGGCACTGTTAGTGTGAAATGGATTCTGAATTTCAAAGGCTTAGTGGGAAAGGGAAACATTTCATTACTAACTATACTATTACATGTGTTAAATGATATTTAGTCTATATTTAAATGAATAAAATATTCATTTAAGTATTGAAGAGCTGGCTCAGTCAGTAAAGTGCCTGATGCAGAAGTTTGAGGACTGTAGTTCGGATCCCTAGTCCCCATGTAAAAGGCCAGGCTAGTGGTGTGGCGTGTACCCAGTGCTGAGGAGCCGGTGAAAGACAGATCCCTAGGGCTTTCTCACCAGCTAGTTTTGCTGAATTTGTGAATTTCAGGTTCAGTGAGAGACTTTATCTCAAAAAGAAGGCTGAGCGTGATTGAGAAAGACAACTGACGTCAACCCCTGGCCTCCACATGTATACACCACACACATTTCTTAAAATTAAGCACACTTATTTCTGCATCCTTTTTTAAATAGAAAATTCAAAACTCTCTCTGTGCTCACAATTCTGTTGGGTGGTATTTCCATAGCAAGGACAAATAGCTTATCCTGAGAGTTAGCCACAGTGTGCTGGTGACACCAAGCCACCTAGATTGGAACTTAAGATCCAGGCTCATCCTGGAGGGTGTAACTTTGTCACTCAGAGAAGGGATCGATGTCTTGCTGAAGCCTCAGTTTACATAGAGGAAGCAACTTTCCTCCAAGATTCTGGGAAGTGCTGGTACTACTCGGGCTCCTGTGTTTGGACGCACCTGGTCTCTAAGCCAAAGACAGCAAGAGAAGGAAGAGAAGCAGAGAGTCAGGATAAACCTCTCACTGCAGAGCACCAACATAGCTACCACTAAACCTGGGGTAGGGCATTGCTGCATTCCACTCCACCATCACTCAGACAGTTTTTGGCATCAGACTATGGAATCTTCTTGCTAAAAATCTCTTTCATCCACTGAAGGACAGTTCTCTCTGGGAAGCTGAATATTATTTCCTCTACCATTGCCTAGAATAAGTATTTTTGCTCGTCTCTCCTTATCCTGTGATGAACCTGCCTACGCTCAAGAATCAGATCCTTGCCCCTGCTGGGGTTGGTGCCAAGTCTGCTAGAGGGAGCTCATGGAGGCCTGTGGCCAGGACTGTGTGAGGGTAAGTAGGGGCAGCTGGTGTGCAGCAGGAGCTTATCAAATTACCAAGGATCTGGCTCATTCAGCCCCTGGAGAACCTTGGAAAAACCAGTTTGCTTATCTCTGAAACAAGTATGCAAATAACTGCTTTGGAGGATTCCTCCTAGGGGTAATGTAGGCACTCTGATACCATCAAAAAATGGGCACAACACTGGCATTAGGTTCCAGGTGGGAATCAAGACACCTGAAATCTTGCCCTTGTCCTTCATTAGCTTTACCACTATGACCAACTCTCCTAACTCCTCAGCCTCAGTTTCCTCATTTACAAAACTGGGCTAGATTTCTAAGATTCCTTTCATCTAGAAGAGTCCATGATATCCATGACTGCAAGGCCCTCAGATAACAGAGAAAAAACCTTGAATCCTGTAGTTTAGTTACTTGTCCAAAGTTACACTGCTTTGGGGCAACAACAGTCAGCAGCTTCTTGCCTCCCAGATCAGAATTTTCCATCTCAAATCAGAAGTCTCCCTGTTCACCAGTGAAAAGAGGTATGAGAATTCCAGAGTAAGAGGAAAAGATTTCCATACCTTGGCCTTAAGGTCAGGGAGTCCAGGCTTCTAAGACAAGTCAATCAGGGCAAATCAGCTCCATCAGAGCCTCTCTCTGGACAGCAACTCTTCTGGGCTTTCCCAGAAGGCAGCTCAACTTGACTTTGGCCTATTGTGCCAACCTCCCCCTTTGCCAGACAGGTCTTGCTCCCTTACTCTCTTGCACGGCAGTCCCCTGGAGCAGCCACAAACAGTTACCAAGGGGCTGTGCCAGAAAGTTCTCCAGGTCAGCCCTTGCTATCTTCAGCAACTTGCCCTCTGATATTTCCTCTTATTCCTAGAATTCATTTGAGCCCACCTGATTTGTTTAACCATCTGCACCAAAAACCAACACACTTTATTTATTTTTTACAAAGGCTGATTCTGATGGGATCTGGAATGAGTAAATACGTTCATTCACGTCAGCTGCTCCTCCAGGCAGCCTGGGGTCACCTAATCCAGGACACACTATAGTGAGCTTTTATCTAAGACTTGGTATGGTAGCCCTAGCCTGGCTCACGTGGGTGAGCCTCAGATGCTGAGAAGCTTGTTTTTGTGGGTGCCTCAGGAGGACGGGCCTTCATTTATTCCCCTCTAGAGAAGTGGTCATTGTTTTCCCCTTTTTGGGGTTAATTGCACTATGCAGAATACCAGCTTGGAGAGTAGGGAAAGAAAATACAAATTGCATCTACCCTTTCTTCCCCTTTACTTTTTATTATTTTATTAAAAAATTTATTGAGCTTTTGTAAATTCCATACAATAATTTTTAATCAAATTTAGATCCCCTTCCCCATCCATGCCAACTGCCCGCCCTCCTCTTCGCCTCCTGCTGGACCTCATGTATTTGGCCATATATGTTAAGACCTATCCAGTCAAGCATTTGTACCCAAATGTCCTTTGGTGCAAGTTCATCCACTGGAGTCTAGTCAGCCTGTCTAGAGTTCTCCATCACCCAGTAGTAATCAGTCTCCAACAGTTCCCAGTCCCCTTTACTTTTTAGCTAGGAGTATCCTTTAAAGCATTCTCTTGGTATTGCATAGAACTGGTGGAGCTCACTCTAACTACAAACTGCCAGTAACAATTGATAACTAGGTATATGTCAACATATTCTGCTATCCTGGGAGCTTGTAAGTGAAATCTGGCACAATCCAAAAGTCACTGAGACCTAAATAACAGAAACTGTTTTAAATGATTTACAAGAATTAATTTATTTAACTTTGAACTGTATTAGCTGGTATTTGGGCTTAATTGTGTCCCCTGGTGCACAATACCTTTATATATTAAAGTTGGAACACTCAATATCTCAGAATTGGATCTTATTTTGAAATAAGGTCATTACAGATAGAATCAGTTAAGATGAAGTCACGGGCCCTAGTTCAACATGACTTATTAAAAGAGCCTAGTTAGATTTATACACATAGGTAGACAGACACAGATACAGTCAGATAGACACATATACACATACATGGTACCATGGAAACATGAAGAAAGAAGCAAGGTGATGCCTCCATAAGCCAAAAAATGTCACAGGTTACTACCAGAAGTGAGGAGAAAGTCAGGGAACAGGTTCTTTCTCAAAGGCCCCAGGGACAAGCAAGACTGCTGCTACCTCAATTTCCAGAACTGCAAAGCAGCACATTTCTCCCATGTGAGCCCCTCAGTTTGCAATATTTGCTACAGCAGCCCCTGCAGACTAGTAGTGAACATCCTATTTTATAAGTGGAAACCAAATCCCAGAGCAACAGACTACTTCCCCATGTTACATCCTAACAAGCATCAGGGACTTTCTCTAGAATATTCTTTCTTAAGAACAGTATTTAATAATTCTGCTTTGGCCTAGACAATAAAATGCTTTTGCTTTGACATAAAGCTTAATTTGAGGATAGTGCTTCAGTAAAGAAGTGAATACAGGAATCCTCTGTAGTCAATGATATTTCTCCGAGCTGATCATATCATAATGTCCTGTTAGAACAAATGTCATGGCCATTTTGTGTCTACGCATAATCAAAGTGGAAACTTTTCCCAACAGAGGTGGTGAAGAAATGCCAGGTAGCTGGGTACCTCAGCCTACTGATGGACAATGCTGTTAGAGCTGGCTCTGATCAAGAAGAAATATTACCTGAGTGATTTCACTTGAAGATGACTGTGAAACAAAGCCACTATTGTTGCTGACATTACAGAAATGACATGATTAGTGAATGAGCTATTTCAAGAAAGCCTTCCTTACCAGTATGCCTTCTCCCTCAGGAAGCCTGAGTCACCAGGTACGGAGGGAAAGAGACTTTTAAGGAGTACTAGGTCCAGGCTACTTTATTTTAACAGCCCCCTCATGTTCTCCATGTCTTCTGTCTTGTTCCTTCTAAACCATTCTCCACATTTCAGGGAGACCTGTCCTTCTGCAAGTCAAATCTGCTTACACGTCTCTCCTGTCTCTACTCTTCCCATAGTCTTCCTTAGCTGGCACGTCTTGTCCGGCCCAAGTCCAACCCGAGCACTGGTTCTGTCTTTCTGTCCCCAGTCTCATGTGCTTCTCCCTAGGCCAAATATTTCAAGTCGAACAGCAGTTATTCGAACAGCAGTTTTCCAGTCACCACCATGCTTCCTCAACACTTGTGCGTATCTGTCCTAACTGTGGACTCCTTTTCCCAGGAACATGCTACCAGAGCCTCCCTCTTAATTTCATCTTTCAGTTTACTCTGAGGAACTCTACCTAGTTGGTCACAGTTTGATCCCAGAACCCTTGTGCAGGCATTGTCCCTAATGACCTCAGGATCACAGACCTCATCACATTTTTTGCCACCATCAGTGGATCTTGGGCCACTCTCACCAGCTGTTTGGGGACAAAGACTGTTTTCTTCACTTTTGTGTTTCTGAGACCTAGCCTATTGTATAATTGGTACTTGATTAACCTATGTGGAGAGAACATGTGACTAATCAAATGATCCAGAGTTTAACTTTACAAACAATAAGGGCATTGCCCTGCTCTCTGTTTGAGTGCCTGTCCTTTAATGTAATGTGGTAACGTCATTAGAAATGCAGGGCTCCTGTGAAAGAGCTGATGTCCACTTCATGCCTTTCTGGGCTCTGTACCTTCATTTCCTTGCCCCTCTGCATTCCAGGGGGACCTTGATCCCTACGCCGAAGTTGTACTTTCATTATAGGTAAATATGTAGCTGTTCTCCAATATCTATGGCTGAGTAATGCAGGGTTGGGTAGAAAGGAGGGCACAAAATAAGATCAAAGGAGCTAAGTCTAGGAAGCGTTCTCAAAAGTTGTGAAGAAAGTGTGGATGGGAGGAAGAGAGAGAGGAATTGTGTGGAGAGAGTAACAATTCTGGGACAGAGAATCATGGCCCAGAGCTTTGCCTTCTCTCTCTCTCCCCTATTACCAAATGTAGACTTGGCCCTAGATTTTCGTGACTAGTCCATTCCAGACGTGAAGGGAAATGCAAATGAGCAAGGAAATAAGATAGAATTGTGTTTGGTTAGCACCCAAATAGTAGATGCACCTTGAAAACAGATTCTTGTGAGACACAAACGTTTTGGAGTGAATTCTCTCCTACCCATGCTCAGTAGGCCAAACACAAAAACAAGGCAGGAAAGTAGAAAAGAAAACTTGTTGGGAAGAAGGGTTCCAGGGAGAGGGAGAGGATGACAGAAGGGAACAGGAAGTGACTGAAAATGACTAAAATTCATTATATACATCTATGACAGGGTCAGACAATAAAAAAATAAAATTTTTGGTATAGGCCCTCCCTCCTCACAGTGCTGGGAACTGAACTCAGTACTTTGTACATACTAGGTAAATGTTCTACCACTGAGCTGCAGCCCTAGTCTAGACAATGTGAACTTAAAGGTAGGAGCTCTTCTCCTGTCTGGGGAACTCATACATGCAAGAGATGTCCCAGACACCATCCAGGTACAAAGAAGTAGCTAGATGCTGATGTGTTAGGAGAGACCAGCTGTTTCTAGGCTGATGCTGCATTGAGATCTGAGTCTGAGAGTCTGATTTTCCTGTGCTTATGTTTCTGGTTACCTAGGAGTTTTTGACCTGCTTCTGTTGCTGCATGGTTTGAAGATCTCTTAGGTCAGAAGGTAGGGCCCACAGAATCAGTGTAGGCCCTCTCTTCCATGGTCATTTGCTTCCCTCAGAGATTTCCAATCAGGAGGCTTTGAGTAGGGACGAGAGCTACTCTTTGCTCAGTGCCCCATGTCTACATCCATGCCTTATTAACTGTCTACAGTGATATGTAAGCCCTCTTGTATTATTAACATAAATGAGGACAAGGAGTAAGATATATGTCTTTGGATGACCTCCACTCTGCAAAATAGCCTTTGAGCAAAGTAGCCCCAAGGTTCAGTCTCTTGGGTAGAAAATTCTCGAGTGCTTTTTAGCCTGCTGGCTGATTGCATAAAGTCTTATGAAAATAGGATATGGAGAGTTCCAAAGCAAAGATTCTAATCTGCTTACTGGGATCATTCACCATTTTCATTATACAGAAAGAAACAGATCTGAGTATCAAGGAACACTAACATCATGCTCTGGCAGAGAACCTGATTTTAAGCACTGACTTTGAAGTAAGGCACAGGTATGGGTGATAAAGGCTTACATCGTAGCATCAGGAGCTAGTGAATTCTTACTTGCAGGTTTCTGCGGGTCCTACAAGTTCCATCTGACTCATTACCTTTCCTGGGGAGCTACCTACTTCCACCCACATTGTAAACTGAGCCCCTGGGGCTGGGTTCCTACATCACTGCATGTAGGCCACTGTTATTGCTGCCTGGATATTCTCTCCTCCAGAATATGAATATCTGGATGTATACCTGGTTTGTTATTTCAAAGTCATTTTTGGTACCCGAATCATTCTGCTTGCTCTCCTCGTTCCATGGAAATTTCTTGGGTTAATTCTTTGGGTTTCTGATTAGGTTGAAACAGGAGTCCTTTGGTTCCATCCATAGTGCATTTCACAAGCCAAGGGCAGGGGTTAGCTAGGGAGTATTCCCCAGGGAAGTATTCCTCTGTGGCATGGGAAGGACTCATCTGACCAAGCAGCTGCATTTTGCCTGAAATGGTGTGCCTGGGACACACTGATCTGGTGTCTAGGAGAATTTGAATTTTAGAGAAGGTTTTTTGAGGTTTAATTGGTTTGACAAATTATTTATTGGGTGCCTATGATGTGTTTCAGTCTCTGTGGGAGCAGGTGGCTACCTGAAGCAGAATCCTTCCCTATTACAGTTTGGAACTGTGTGTTCATCTCTTTAGCT